CGAACAAAAAGATAGGCATCTGGTCCGTTGACTTGTTGAACATCACGATAGTCTGTCTTGAATAAGGTAATAGGCCAAGTTAAAAATCCAGCTTCGAAAGGTTTGACACGGTCCCTGGATGAACAGAACCGTTCAGAACGTGAGCAGTCTGGGATGAGGTGCTAGATGAATGCATACTTCTCAACCGGAGCTTGTGTGCGTGGCTCGTAGATTTGTTTGAAGTATGGACGTAGTACCGTGAACAAGCCTATCTCAATCCCAAAGACTGCAGCATTGAAAACAAGCGCAGTGACGAAAGTGGCTGTTGTAGCAGACTTTGCGGTCTGCTGATCTACGCCCGACCTAAGAAAAGTCAGCCACAGACAATAGACATGTAGATAAAAGCACATACATGGCGATCAGCGAGAATGGAGTAAGGGGAGCAGAGAAAAGGAGCGACACGCTTAAGCCGAGCTTAAGAAGGTATAATTTACTTTTTGATCTACTTACTGCTGCTAGCAATTCGGGAAACGTTGTTTACCGACTCCTGACAGCTCCACACTAATTATGTAATCACATCACCACGTTTTCAAAGTAACGTACAGGGCCGCTCAAGGGCCGCATCATGATATTACTCCTAACACGAACGATTCTCTCCGTATCCAGATATCTTGTATTAGCATTGAACACAATCAACAACTGCATTGTATCCTCCAAAGGAATCTCTCTCGGCAGTGATTACTATCTTCCGTGATAGATGGTTCTAGCCTAGGCACAAGATGTCACGGCTCAGACTTTCCCGTTCTACTCCGACCCTTTTTGGCCCGGTTTGCGACTGGCGGCCATGGACACGGCACGACCATCGACCCGGACTGTCAATTCCACCTCAACATTCAACGAGCACTGTCATGGGGTACTATATTGGAAACATGCTCGGGTCACAATGATTCAAATTCAGGATTTCCACGAGCAACTCGCGCCATGCTCTACCCCCCATGATACAGTTGTGTTGAGGCCCGGGATTCGAGCATTGTAGGTCAAGTCAGACCTCTCAAGATAACCGCGGGTTCAGGTGAATCTGAGATCATGTCTGCAGTGTGCACTCGTACATAAACTCGCCCACTCTGTGGACGATAGATTTTTCTCCGACTCCTGCAGAATCTGGTAAATGGTCATGACCGACCAGCCTTGTTACCAGCCAAACACGTTGAACAACCACACTTGTGCGATTTTGGCTCTTTGAGGCGAGTGAAATACAATGAAATCAAGATCCGGTCAATTCCCGGAGAAAGAAAAACTGCTTTATGGTACGTCGAAGCACACGCCATGGCAAAAAAAATCTGGTCCATGGGTGTACAGCATAGAAGCAGTACCTAGAAGGTCCGGGCATTCCCTTCCAATACACAGCGTGCCTTGAACTCGGTAGAAGGCTCACTTCATCGATGCGATGAGCTGATCCAACTCTCTGGCAATAAGGGCATTAGGACACGACTTCCTGAGTTGTCTTTAACCGCCATAAGCCGTAAGCAGTAAACGATAGTCAAAATACTCACTCCATCCCTTTCTTGTCTCCACGTTCCTTGCACTCCCTACCTGCCGCACGCCAGTCTTCGCACAGCACATAAAGTCCCACGCGTTTTGGGCCATCGCATCGCACCACGTATAACGCCGCCTGCTTGAGGTGACCAGCTTCGACAAGATGTCTTACGAATGCCTCGTAGCCAATAGGACTCCGTCTTGAACGCGCAAACGTGTCTAGTGCGTCGAAATTTCGCATAGCTGTGAGCGCATGTAACTTGAGATACCAAAATCTAGAAAAGGTGGCATTAACTTAAAAAACCTGGGACACAACACAGTTGACAAACCGTTTGTCAGGAACTTTGAACTCGCTTTTGACGCGGTCGGCTTTCTTGCTCATGTCGTTCGAGATACACGTGCGTATCGTCTCAGAGACGCTTTGTCCGAAAAACTTGACTTTGCCATCTGAGTCCTTCTCATATTGCTGCTGAAGCGCAAGCAAGCGAACACTTTCATTCATCATCTACAGAACAAAGGTCGAGATTGAGCAGAAACGCAGAGCAAAGAATCAGGCTTACCTTGGCTTCAAATGGGCGGTCTTTGTCCTCTGAAAAGAATTTCTCTGCTGCATTCACAGCTGTCATCACCGCATGAGGATCCTGAATAACTTGTAAATCACAGATAACTGAAGGAAATTTCGCGCGTACGGTCATTTGGGCTGCCTCGTCCAGCGCCAGAGTTGCACTCTCCACTCTCCTATCATCACTGTAGTAAAAATCTCTTAGCATTTCTCGATTCTGCTCTCGAGCGTAAACCTGAAGGAGCTTGCTTGCAGGCGCAAGCTGATCTCCGCCATCCTCGATCAACTTGAAAAAAGAACCTAAAGGAAGGCGCTTGTGAAGATGTAGTAATACATGGTACACTTGATAGTTGTCTCAGATTTCAAAGTTCCAGATACAGGGCACTACTCACCGAGATCGGTGTCACCGCTGTCGACCGCTTTTACCAGAGCTAGTTTGTCTTCTTTCATGGTTAATAGTAATGGAACCTGATCAGAAGCCCTGGTTTCGTGATCTAGTAGCTGAAGGAAGAATCGCTCAGTATAAGGGAGTGATAACGATAAGCACCTTCACCTTTGTGGCCAATCCCGTCCTCCCAACCTCCCATGCTCGCCGGGCAATATCTGCATAGCTCACCTCCCCGCCCCCGAGCTTCTCAAACTTGTTTACTATGAGTCTGCACACTTCATCATCTTCGCCGTCAACAGCTGAAGACTTGGACCGTGCGATCTTTACACTCGCCCAATGTTTGAGAACAACGTCGGGTTTAAGAGACAGGAAGGAAGAAACACGGATAGCGAGAAGGTGCAGGTTTCGGGATGTTAAACGGTTTATGAGATGCGCCGGAGATACATATTGATACCTGCGTGAATCAGATCTCGACCACATCGAACCTTACAGATATTGAACTTACTCCGAATACGTCAAAGGGATTCCAATCTCATAGAAGCGGACAGCATTCAGAACTTTCAATGCTTGGCCCATGGCTATAAAATCGGTGGGATTGTAAAGGTCTAGGAATCCCCATCCAAATTTCGCGGCCTATCATAAGTTTGTCGATAAGTAATAAAAGGCCAGTTTGAAGCACTATACATACACTAAGTAGCTTTCTTTGCCAATGAGGATCCCATTCATGGCCAGCAGCATCAATGCATTCATTCACAGCCGCAGCAAGGTCTGATCGAATGCTCCGTATGTTCTCGTCTGCTTTTGGCGATCGTTGTACGAAACTTTCCCAAGCTGCAAATAGGATGGCAGATGATGACGTTGAGCCTGGACGGAATATGGATACCGAAGACGCTGTACGAAACATGTTAAGGTTCACTTACCAAAAATACCACCGAACAAACTTACCAGGTACTTTCTGGATGAAGTCGCATACATCCTGCCCTATAACACGGGCACCGTCGGCTTCCGTGACGACAAACGTAGCACCAAAATATAGATAACTATTAATATTATGTCAGCCATTGATGTGGAAGATAGAGAAAGCCCAGACCGCAGCGTTTCTCCCGCTAGGTTATCTCGTGATGGCAGAATGAGAGATGCGAGATCATTCCAAGTAACCAAAACTGCGTCGTTGCCGCACCATTCCACTTGGTTGACCGGCCCTTCAGCACCCACAGTTGCTGTGTCGAGAACGACCAGTTCACGTTGGAAGTCCGATGAAACGACCCAAAGGAGCCCAGAGAAAGTTAACAACGCAAGGAATTTGCCATTAGGCGAAGGGGAGACATGCAAAAATGGTCCACGGGCTACGCGTTGGTCCGCACTTTCCAGGTTGTCCACAGTAAGGATAGTGGCATCTACTGAGAGCAGCACCTCAACATGTCTCGATATTGATTGATCCGGGGGTATGACAGCCCACGAATGAGGTGGTTCAGATATCCCTACCGAAAATTGATACATGCTAGACAGACAATATGGATAATAATGACATACCAGGGTTTGCAAGTGCCAATGGCCTCCCGCCTTCCCAATCTTTCACTTCTAAGAGAGTCAAAGAGCCTGTTAAGGCGACTAGTCCATTCTCGTGTATTCTAGCGTCGATTATACCCAATTCCGCCGCCTCGTTTCCCAACGAAAACTGCTGGTAGTCGCCTTGCAGATCGTACAGACGATACACGCCCTCCTCATTCAAAACCACAAGTCGTTCATCGAAGGTCCATCCAAACCGCACTATTCGGCCTTGATCCCACTGTCAAACGCGAGTCAGCCACCCGTTGAACTCTTCACTTGATGCAGAATATCCACACTGAAGAGTAGCAAGCCCTCTCCGGCCGGTGAGTACACCTGGATTTGAGATTTCGAAAATGCAGGTCCTCCACGACCCAGCGCAACCAGCTTTGAAGTGTCTCTCATAAGTGCTAGGGCACCTCTCATCCTGCAAATTCCGGATAATTGAGTGGGCCACATACCTATCGGTCCACCATTCTTGCACCCAGCGATCAAGTAGTCAGCAATGTTTGGGAGCTTTCCAGGTAGCGTGTACAACTGCTGGCGTCTGTAAAACACAATACCATTTGAGACTGCTTCCCATGTTGCCGAAGGATGTTGTACGGTGTCCATCCTTGAACAATTAAGGAACTTCGAATCACGAAAATTGTCCTTCAAGGTAGCGGTCGAACCAGGACCTGGCGGCAACGACGATCTCGATCAAGGTGAGCTGTTCAGACGTAGAATGTTGTGCGACCACTCAAACAGTGAGCAGTAAGCACGACTGAATAGCACTTATGTAATTCGGCTGTCCTCAGGTCACTGCAGCTCGCGTTTATCTTCATTCGTCATGACTTGTCTAGGGGAGACTAGCTATATAGCACCAAGCCGGAATACGATGCGCTTGTCAACTAGAGAATTGACACTTATCCAACCGAACGCCGGAGTGCCGAGGTACCTCAATTGCTGAGTTGATCTCGACTCTCGGGGTGACCGTATCCACATTAAGTCGGGCTACTTTATGTTTTGTGCTGGTGAGTTACTGAGTAACTAGTAGCCTAGGGACACACAGGCATTCAATCATCACGAACCCCATCCATTTCATGATATTATGTTTTCGTCTCTCTGACAGGTAGACACCCTATCATTCCCCTCGGGCGGGCGGGCGCCGCCGCCGCGGCCAAGTTTCAACTACCACACGGGCGGCCAATATTAGAGTGAACACTGCTGCATGCCCGGCACCTGGGCTCCAGGACAGTTGTTTCGAGAGTTCCAGTATTGCCTGTAAGTAACATCCAGCCGCATTGCTCCAGTATGTGCCTCACCAAGGTACCTGGTCCTGCAGTGTGTACCTCGAGATGCAGACGGGGGCTTGGCTGTCAACACATCCTCGTTGGTATCCGGACCAGGGATCATTCCGATCAATTCCGCCGTGCCTATAGAACGTGTTAAACTTTGTGTCCTTGTCCGCTCATCGGGAGTTTGCAGTTTCGTTCCCGTTGAGGACTGGGATGCATGGTTTACCGCCTGTTCATTACTACTGGGTGTGCGACCTTTACAAGGCGCCATAAGCAAACATAGATCTTCTCAAATATGTTGAGCACTAACAAAAATCGATTTGGGGACCAAGACGAGATTATTACAGGCCAGTGGCAACATTTTCAATCGAGTAATTCAATCGAAATCGGTGAGAAGTATATAGTTATGAGGAAGTGACTTCATCTAATCTCGAAGTCACCCTTGTGCCTTGCCAGCCCACCTCTCCCCTTCTGGCTTGGATCAAAATCACAAAAAAAGGATTTCGCTTCATTGCGCCCACTTCCGACAAGAATCGTTTTTGGCCTGGGGCGATGCCGGGCTCTGAAGAAGATCGGGAACTAATCGAAGAGCTAAAACAATCCAGTTGAATTTGATACCTTTTAGACAAGTCTAATTGGTCAAACGATCGACCATTTACGCCTCCGTAATTCCAACCTAGGACCAGTCCCTTCGCGTCATCATCAGTGGCACGCGCCCCATGCGCTCATATCTTCATCATCATGACGGGGAGTCTCGACCTCTGCCTGGCGTGACCGGGAGGAAATACCAGTACGAAGACAACCCTAGATAAAACTCACACACCGTGACTGTGAGTACGCACGAGACGCAAGCAGCCAATTTGCATTACGATATCGCTGCAAATTTTCAATGAAATCATAAGATGATACCAAATGTATCAAAGTTCAGGCTGTTCAGCTAACTTCTGCGGTGAAAGGAAAAATCTGTTGGTGACCGACCAATCAGACTCAGCAGAGGCTCCGCCTGACAGGTTTCCGTATAAGAACGGCTCTCGATCGAATGCACACTGATACACGTGAAGTTCTCTGCTCCGATTGAGCGTAGTGACTCCCACCGAACCCTGACATGACATGCAGAGCCTTCTCTTTCGAGAATCGTGATGACATCCCACACTACAACATAAACAGCTTAAGGGGTCATGACGTAGTGATTAAAATGGCCACGAGGTGAAAGCCGGAAAAAAATTAAAGGACGTGACATTCTGCCTCACCTCTCTAATTTTGGTATTGAGTCCTCAGTAACCTATTGATTAGAGGTCATTAGAGGAAGCGAGGACGGTGATCTGAGAGTAGGAAGCATGATTGCAGTTCTAGCAGCGTTTAACACGTTGTCTCGGGAAGAAGGTACCCTTAACGAAAATACTGAACTTGTCCCTCGGAAAAATCTGCGATTTTTCTTACGCTCCAACGTTCTGCGTCGGTCGGTCGACTGCATTTTCCCGAGCCAAGATGTCGGGCAACATACGGCGAATCCCACACTACCCTGCAGGGAAACATGATCAAGGTATCGTGCTATAACTAGCCACATATCAGACTGTAGATCCGTGCGTTCTATTGCTACTTGTGCGAATCCGTTGTGATCGTGAAGTACATGGAGCCATAGCCAACTGTTATTGAGAAGGAGCCTGATTGTATGGAATTTCCGAAACAACCAAGCGCTGGCAGATAAGGGGACGAGACCATGTCGGAAGCTCGAGACCAAAAAAGTTCAAGACCATTACACTACTTCGATGACAAAACAGCATAGTTAACTCCAGTGGCACGGTGATGGATGATGATATGGTGCTCACATGGGATTAGCATATGTAGTATGTTGCTATATACCGTCTCTCGGTGAGATGCATGCATGTCGCATATGTCACGGTATCGCGAGTCGCAGCTACATATCAGTTAACGGAGACAGATCATAAAAGACATTCAAACTTAGACCTAAGCAGAAAATTACCTACCAATGTCATGTAGCCTGGACTGGAGCTGGACGGCCCTGCATCCGGGATCGGCTGCCTAGTGTGTGATACTACACCACTCCAGAAGAGTCACCTGTAATGACAAACCGCACTGGCAAAATCATCAACGATGGACATTGCACTGTACAGGTTATGCGACCTACAGCTGATTCAAAGCCTCTTGACTCTACGGCGTAACGTCGAACAGCGTTGAACGTGGCACGCCTGGGCCTGGTTACATAACTCGCTTGCACCTCTCAAGCAATTCAAACTTGAAATCGCGCAATATTATCGTATACCCTCGTATACCACCGCGCAACGTCTCACCTTTAAATGACCGGTCCTGAGTTATTGAATGATCTGCTGGATGAAGCTGAAACATTGGTGAGTTATTGTTGCGATGGCGTGATCATTGTTCATCATGATGCCACTCCCAGTCTCCCATCTTAGAGCCGGTATGCAGAAAATTCTAATTATCTTACTGTTTGGGC